TATGGAAACACAATATAACAAAGACACTAAATATAACATGGATACACAACTTAAAATAGACACACAGTATAAAATGGACACAAGATATAACGTAGACACACAATATAACATAGACAAACAATATAACATGGACACAATAGGCAGGCAATATAAGATAAATACACAATATAACAGACACATAAAATAACATGGACACAATATAACATAGACAAACATTATAAGATAGGCAGGCATGTAAGATAAATACACAATATAGCATAGACACACATTATAAGATAGGCAGGCAATATAAGATAAACACACAATATAGCATAGACACAATATAACATAGATACACAATATAACATAGATACACAATATAACATAGACACACAATATAACATGGACACAATATAACATTTGGTAATTCTTGCTATTGAGCGGGATCTATGAGGGAAACAGAATTATTATGATATACTGTATGACTTTGCTACACACAATGCTCGTAAAGTAATTCTGTACGTAGTAAAGAATGAATAAAATGCATAGACGAATTTATTTTTTAATACAAACTCTTAAATTTGACTTATTGTCCGCTTCCCTACCCAAACTTGGCCCAGCGAAATCCGTTTTGAATGGGGCCCCACAGTGCTTAAGTCCGGCCCTGCTATTTAGTGTTTGTAAAATGTTTCACATGTTTCGGATGTTCCTTCAGAGTTAAAGATAGTTTACTTCCTAGTCCAAACCTCCCGCATGGGATGGGAGCGGGCAGGGTTTGACAGTCCAGCGCGCAGCCATACGTAGCGAGCTGTGAAAACGTATTCTCCCACCCCCCCTTTTTTTGTTTTTTTCGTGGGGTGACTATCCGCAGAAATAAGAGTGATCTTTGCTTTACTTCTTTTTTGACCTGATTAGGGAAGAAGAGAATTATATATATAGATGAATATTCCAGTTTGATTAGAGTAACACCATTATTAAAATCACTTAACTTAGAGACAATTTTAAAGAATAACAAGGTTACAAAGACAGTTTGTGTGGAAACACACTAAAAATCGGCCCCCGAAATGGTCCACCCAGGCATGTAAAAAGGCAGGTTTCAATATTTTCAGAAAGAACATCAGAATAAAATTCTATCAAAGACAAATGACAGAGAAGAATGGAGAAAGAAGGTTGATAGATCTTGTATGGTGCCCCAGCGGTCCAGCAGACCAAAGGATAGGTAAAAGTGAATGTGAAGTTAGATGTGAACCTGGCCTAAGTAGCTTTTATAACGAATATCTAATTGATCTAATTGTTTTGTTTTATTCCTCAAGAAATAAAAATTTCGTAAAAAAAAAATTGCTTTAGTTACGTGTTCTATTGCTGCATAATAGTACTGCAGTCCACGCGATAATATTAAAAACTACATATTAATTGTTGTTTTAAATTATGTGCCACTTAAATGCATACTAAATAGATTCTTTCTCTTTAAAAAAAAAAAAGATAAACATTTTTTTTGTGTGTAAATGTTGTAGTTGATATAACAGAAATTATTTAACTTAGCAATACCAATGTAAAAAAAAAATTTTTGACTAAAAATCTAAAACCATCAGCATAAATGTGTTACAAATTTGGTAAATATTCATCTCCCCTACTAAAGAGACTCCCGTGTTATCTACTATTAATAGTAAATAGTAAATGGAGTATTTTTGTGAAAAAACTGCTTGCATAAGTGATTTTAAAAAGTAGATTTTTCACTTTCAGGAAAGAAAAAAAGTAGCCGTTGCATCAGAACTTTAAATGGTCTAAAATATTATGAAGTTTGATTTTCCCTACCTTTTCTAGATTACGAGATCTAAACGGGACGGACGAACGGACAGACATTCCACACAAAACTAATAGCGTCTTTTCCCCTTTCGGGGGCCGCTAAAAAGTAAAGTAACAATAATACATAATACACTGAGCCCTAATTTACAAATAGAAACACAAAACCTAATAAATTTTTCAGAAACACATAAAGACAGAGGCACATTTTAATTCCAAATCGCATAAGTGCTCCTTCTTCCCTAGTACCATTAGTGAATGGTATGGGTTCCCTGAATCAGCCAGGAAAATCAAAGACTTAGCAAAGTTTAAGTCATTAATTAACATGCATGACTAGATTGAGACATGAAATGCGTAGGACGTAATTATCTTATTTTGAAGTCACGTCTGTAATCTATAAGATAAGAACTATATTATATGGATACACACAAAATAGATCTTACAACGTGGACATGGTTTACCTTATAACGATTTATTTCCGGTCAATACAAATAATGTCGGACTATAATGCCCTTTGAGCATCTACACCAGTGTTTCTCGAACTGTGACGGCGGACCCTAGGCGTCCTTCAGATGATCGAATGAGGTCGTAGAAAGACACTTATATATACAATGAAAATACTTTCTTCTTCGCTAGAAGCTTTTTCACTGTGAGGGGTCTGGAGGTAAGTTTTGACTACCGGTATATAAAGGGGTCCCCGGGTCAAAAACAAAGTTTGAGAACCTGTGATCTAGACACTATATCTCAAACATGTGACGTTTGAGATAGACTTTAGATGCATACATACACATAAACAAACATAAATACATACGTAGCTTAGCTGTTTGTTTGATTTCCAGAAATAAGTTCATGTACTTTATTTTTAAAAATTTTTTACAGGGGAGAGGCAAGAGGGTAGTGTAGAGGACAGTTGAGGCATATCTGGGGTTCTATCTTACTTCACTGGTTTCAAAGTAGCCTACACATTATAAAGCGGACTTCAGGTTATAAAAACTGACTACAAATTATAAACTGAACTACACATTTTCAAGTGGGCTAACACTATGCAACACATTTTAAAGAAGCCTAAATATTACAAAGTGGGCTACACACTACGACTTACCTTATACATTATAAAGCGGGTATAAAGTATAAAGTGGCAGATTATAAACTATGCTATACATTAGAAAGTGACCTATACATTATAAAATGTCCTACACAGTATAGAGTGGCTTGCAAGTTATAAAGTGTAGCTGATTGAGAAAAGAAGCCTAATAAAAAAAATATAGAACGGGAAGAACTGCATATTTTTAAATCCCCTTAAACAAAATCCAACTAAAATAATTAGTTATCCTAATTAGTTAAGCAATTGGTTGACTTTTTTTTTTATTGACTCATCCTTCGTTAGAAACAATAAATAATTGTGCAAAGCTCAACTTGATCCAAGAATAGGAAGTAGGAGAAAGAACGTGTACAAGATTTGTACCCGACAGACAGACAGACAGACAGAGTTGATAGAAGCTTTGTTAAAAAGGTCAATTGTTCTATGACACAAGAAGAATGGTCTCTCGTCCCTTTTTACGATGATTACTTTGCAGACACGCCCATTGATCTACTTTTTTTGTCTCAAAATCTCCTCATCCATGCCTGGAACACTACTGCAGGTATCACACCGGAAGTTCATATCCCTTTCTCTGACAATAATTGTTAGTACTTAACAGCTTTAGATGCCCCTTCAGAAATACAGAGGTCTGTTTAATTTCAAGTCACCCTGGCTAAAAGACTTTACTGATAGATTTAAAATAATTTAATTTAATAATTTTATAATAATTTCTTTTTGCTCCGCCCACGGTCTCGGCAAGCTGTTGCAAGACAGACTGGATTATTACAAGTAGGGCAAGCGGAGAGAATACTGCGGGTGGGGAAAGTATCATTTAAGAGTCTTTAGCTTGATAGCAAGGAAACAATTGCTTCATAAAAAAATTATCTCCCCTGGTGTGATAAGAAAAAAGATCTCTTTTATTTGGTATAGAGACGTGGATTAATGTGTGAAATAGGGTTTTAAGTAATCCTCCATGTGGCACATAAGTAATGTAGACACAGACGCACATTATTAAAGGTGGAGACGACATACACAGCATAATGTGAACACATAAAACAACTAAAGAGTATAGATATAAAGTAGAAAGTTAACAGAAACAAAGATCTAATTAACCTGTTAATTAGAGTGCATACAGGCTATAGCGTAGTGAAACAGACAATTAGTGTGTTAATTAGAGTGCATACAGGCTATAGCGTAATGAGACAGACAATAAGTGTGTTAATTAGAGTGCATACAGGCGATAGCGTAATGAAACAGACAATTAGTGTGTTAATTAGAGTGCATACAGGCTATAGCGTAATGAAACACAATTTAATTTCAGACATATTTAAATAAGCGTGTCGAGATCAGCTGATGATTCTGCAAGGTTGTCATCTTAGGAAGTGGTAATGGCTATCAGGGCCGGCCTTAGGCCACTGCAAACAATGCGGTCGCAGTGGGCGCCGCACCATTTTAACAGGCCCCATGCGAATTCTAGGTGTCAATCATTAAATTAAACCAGTATAACTTATAAATAATAGCAGGGTTACAGAGGCCTCCTTATTTTCCAAAGTCTCCTGGAAATCTCCTGTAATTGCAAAATATATGAAAAAGTCCTGGAAATCTCCCGAATTTATTAAAAATAGACAAAATTGTCATTTTGGGGTCCCAATCCTACTTGCGATAAAAAAAAACGACATTGTCAGCTTTCATTTAATAAAAATTTATTGCAAAGAATAATGTATTTTCTAATACAAAAACTTATTTTTGAGATTTAGCTTATCCGGAACCAGATTGGGCCCTAGCAAACAGTTTCACATAGGGGCCGCAATTGTTAGGGCCGGCTGTGGTAGTTATTATCCCTTCATTACCTATACAATGCTTCTCACCAGTGGCGTAGCTATGGTTGGGGATGGGATGGGAGAGTTTGAAAATCCCCCCCCCCCCGGGGCCCCCAAATGAGTGTTCGAAATTTGTTTTACATTAAATATTAAATATTACGCCAATATCTCATGTGATAATGTAGAATGTCAAAATACAGGGGCCCCTAGAGAGGCTAATCCCCCTCCCCCCCCCCCCCACGCACCCAAATCCATATGCTACGTCACTGCTTCACACATAGCTTCTGACACTTAATTCATCTCCTTCCCTTGATGTGTATGACTATAAGAGAATTAGAACGAACGCGTCTGTCGCTGTCTGTCGCTATAGGAGTGAATAAAAGCGTTCCTCGAGTTACAAAAAAGCTCAGAAAGGCTGATTATAAAATTTAAAAAAAAACTGTATCCTTTCTCTGATGTTTGCTCTCGTGAAATAAATACCTGTAAATCATTCACTTTTTTTTAATCATACCGGACATTAGTAGTGAACGTAAATAATAAAAAGTAAACAAAAACCACCCGCCTGCTCAGGGGGGGGGGGGGGGTGTCACCATTAGCTCTTATGTGTCTTCATTGGTGAATTTTCTAGGCTAGAAAAAAAAAAACAATCCTAATTGGATGTTAATTCCCGTCCTCTAAATGACTTCTACTGTATTGGAAAGATCTTAGAAGACGAGGTATTTGATACACTTAATTCTTTGTTCGATTAATTCAATACATTACACGTGGTGGCAGAAGATAAAACTAAATGTCAACATTGACATTGATCCAGTGATTGGTATTAAACTACAGTCTCTTGGGACTTGTCGAATCAGTGATTGGTATTAAACCACAGTCTCTTGGGACTTGTCGAATCAGTGATTGGTATTAAACCACAGTCTCTTGGGACTTGTCGAATCAGTGATTGATATTAAACCACAGACTCTTGGGACTTGTCGAGTGAGTGAAATCTGGTCAGAGCTGCAGTCCTTTTTGTTTTCTGTTAAGATTATTTATTGATCGGTAAGTCTAAGAGACTTAAACTCTTATGTTATGTTTGAATGGAATGTTGATAAGCTTTTTTTTTTATATATTTCTATTAGAAACAAAACCTCAACAAACAATTTTTAAAAAATTTGACATTATAAAAGTGATTCATTTTAAGGCCTCTGATATATATGAGTCTCAGTTGCACTATTTTTGTTTTTAAATTTCTTATAATTCTTTGAAACAAAATCGAGGTAACCTTATCACCTTTTTCCATTCTTATAATTTTGTATTGCGTATTGTTGAGAACGGGACCTAAAAATATAGTTTTAAAAAATAAAAATTAAAACTTATGTTAGGGTCACCTTCAGCTCCCTTAATCTGAAGAACCGTTAGGGGCACCACACATGATCTGTCGACCACCTGTCTCCATTCCTCTCTGTCTTTTGCCTGTCTTTTCAATGGCAGACCCGTCCATTCTATGATGTCTTCCCATCACTTTCTATGTCTACCACTTTTTTTTTTTTTTTTATTTTTTTTTTTTTTTAATAGTGTTAAAAGTAGAAAAAAAAATTTTTTTGGTGTTGTACATAAGTGTTCAAAGAGCCCTAAGTTTGCTTAATGTTCAAAAAGTGTTAAGAACTGAAACGTGGATAACCCTTATCAAAATCATGAAAACAAGTTTCTTCTAGATAACTTCTTTCTCTCCCATCCCATTACTCTGAAAGACACAAAGATAAAGGCACATTCCTCGTCCCATATGCTGGGACAAATTTGTACAAATACTCCTTCTTCCTTAGCGCTATTAGAGCATGGAATGGGTTGCCTGAGCTAGCCAGTAAATCCAGTGACTTGGCCGAATTTAAGTCATTGGTTAATATGCATGACTAAATGCATGACGTGTAGGACGTAATCATCTTTTTTTTTTTTTGAAGTTACGTCTGTATTATATAAGATAAGATAAGATTGTCTCCCCTTGCTGCAATGAGTTCATTAAGTTAATGTCGGTTTTCATTCTTATTGCATAAAAAGCACCTAGAGCACCAAGGGTCATCATTTGATATGCGTTCATAGTTTTAGTTAATTAACGTAATTTTCGTTTACAAGCCAATAAGGATTATCGCATTCTCTCCCCCCCCCCCCCTATTTAATGTTATAAAAAGCCACATTGTCATTTTCCCTTTTTTTTCTTTTTGGTTTTCGTTGTTGTGAGTGTAGGTGATTGCCATGAAGATAATCCTGTTTCTGGTGGCTGCAACTCTAGCAGCGACGTGTGCTCAAAGAAATTCCGCAGCCTCTGTTTCCAAAAATCACCCGGCTGTAAAATTTGCGTTGGCGACCATCAACAACTTTTACGCAGCCAAGGGAGACGACGCTCCTCGATCTTTAACTGGCCTCATAGCTTTCAGGTCAAAGGTGAGGTCAGCAGACCACAATCAAAATAGTTTTGTGGAAGATAAAATTAGTTACTGTTGTGAATATCAAAGCGTATTACAAATCTTGACTACAACTTAAACCAATGATGTCACTTGGGGAGTTCGAGGGATGCGGCCCGCGCCGGGTGACACCAAGCCACTGACTTAAAGGTCTAACATACAAGATGGAAAGTAACAAGTAACACAGACAACAATAGCTTTTTTTGTTTTTAAAGACAATGACTCCTTTAAAAAGCTGATAACTTCTTTTATTAAATAATGAATATACGATTTAAAAAAAAATTAAACGCTTATTTGTAAATAAAGTTCCGCTTTCTGACCTTGTTGTCTATGGCGCATCTATTTCTGTGGCCTTCGGTTAACGAGGGTGTCATGTGGCCAGCACAACGACCAACCGCCTTTACTTTTCCCAAACTAATGTCAGGTATCCATTAGAGCTGGGTGGACTCAGAGGCGCCCAAAGATCCCGAAATTAAAAATCTCAATCTTCACAGGAATCGAACCCGGGACCCCAGGTTCGGAAGCCAAGCGCTTTGCCGCTCAGCCACCGCACCTCCTTTATTTGTAAACAAAGATTGAAAAATGCATTGCGTTTGGACAGCAGTAAAAATTAACTACACATTTTATCTTTTTATTGATGGTCATTAGTTATACTTTTATTATCTATTCCAGGACTTTTTCGAAAGGCAGATTGATCTGACAGTTAAAGTCGACAATGGTATAACGGTAAACATATTTCTTTTTATCTTACATCAGGGCCGGTCTTAGGTACAGGCAAATTAGGCAGCCGGCTAGGGCCTCCGATTGGTAAGGGCCTCGAACATGACTCATTTTTTTTTTAGAGATATGTGCCCAATGTTATTGCTGGAGTCACTAGTTTTTAAATAAATTGCGTAATTTTATTGTTTTTGTTTTTCGATGATTATTTTTTATGTTCTATTTCATTTGGAGCCACCCAATTCACTTCTCTTAGGGTCTCCAATTATTTAAGGCCGGCACTGCTTACATTTAAAAGTTCTTAGGTTTCACTTTACATTACATTATAGCCCTAGCCCTGTTGATTATGCTCATTCCAATAGTGAATAGAAAATAATTTATTGCTAATCTCCAATTTGTTTCTCAGCCATTAAGTTCGGAGGTTCCCTTTTCTCTTATGCTGTACACAAAAAAAAGGATTTCCCGCTTTCAAGCATTGTTCTCCCTCCACTTCCCTTTCAGACCTTGTGATATATCTTGCACATGATGTTAAGATCATTTGTTTCTTTGGCCAACGGTTAACGAGCAGGGTGTTATGTGGGCAGCATATCGACCTACCGCCTTTAGGTAGCCCTAAAGGTCCCTAGCATTGAGGACACGACAAGTTACGTAAGTCAGATTTACAAATGCAGAAAGAAGGTTTAAATCTTTCCCATGATGCATGTTTTCTGGCATGATTCTGTCTGTCCCCCTGAGTTATAATTTTCTTGTGGAGGAATAGATAGATGAGCCTCCATCTCCAGCTAACTAGATCTCTGTACCTAAGTATTAGATCTTGTTTATAAAGGTGTAGATGTTATAGTTTGATGTTCTTTCATCACAGATTGAAAGATGTTCTATGCTTTTAGTGCGAAATAGGTTTGCGTCTGACAGTTTCTCAGTCCAAAGTGGACCCACATGCACAGAGTAATAAGGTATAGTAGTTATGGTAGTAGGTTTTTTTTGTACAGTTACCTTAGAATCAAAACAATGAACTATAAATGTGCGATTTTCCATTTGACATTGTTATCACTATTTCTTTTTTGTTATTGTTACTCAGACACTAGATAAAATACAAAAATATATTAGGCCTACTAGACAAATACTTATCGATAGGCCGAAAAAATACAAAAATAGTTCATCTAGAAGAAAGAATACACCAATAAAAACGAAATACACTTTAGGGAACACGCTTTTTTAGCGGCTCCAATAAAGAAAAAAGCCTCAATTGTGTGGAGGTTATGTCCCCCGTCAGATCTCCAAAACTAGAAAATACAATTAAAAAAAAACAAACGATTTCTTGGTATTTTGCATCTTGCGAAAATTAGACTCAACAGTTTTGTATTTTCTGAAGGCGAACCTTTTGTTTAAAAAAATTTAATATTCATATGTGTTCTAAAAATATACAAAATAATTACCTCCATTTCTTAAAGTTATAAATATATCGGAATTTAGTGATTGATTATTTCATTTGATTCTGTTTATTTTAGGTGAGATTTTAACACTAAACCATCACTTGCCACAGCGCAGCCAAGGTGTTTTGAGTTTAAAACCCCCTTCAGCGAGGTTTGAAGCTAAAAAAAAATACCTCTTCAATATAAAAAAAAAAGCGAATTGCACTCTCAAAAATCTATGATCATAGACAAAAGGGTTTGAGCTTAAACCAGTGGTTCCCAAACTTTTTTGTCTCGTAGACCCCTTGCCATGTTTTCCAGTTTTTGGTAGACCCCTGAATTTTTTTGAAAATTCATTAACTTCAAATGCGTTTTTCTTGCAGATTCAAAGCCATATATATACTATATACATTGATGCTATTCATACTAAAATGAGGCAAAACAAAAAACAAAAGAAAGTAATATGCATTACATGAATTGACTTAGACTTTTAGACTTAGGTCCTCCCGCGCCGTTCGGCGCATTGGGCGGCAATCTGTCTCCATAAAGATCTGACATTGGCAATGTCTTAAGTCTCCTCCCACCTGATGAAGGTGTGACGCCAGGTTATACGAAGATATCCCTGTTTGCGCTTTCCTCGTATTGGCCTCCATGTCATCGCAACTCTTGGTATGCGTAGTTCAAATTTGTCGTAGAACATGTCCCGCAAACCTCATGCGACGCTCTGTCACAACATCACCAAGTGTTCGACTCCCAGTTCGGCATAAGATTTCCTTGTTTGAGACCGATCTGTGTAACTGACTCCCAAAATCCATCTAAGCCATTTTTGTTGAGCCACATTTAGTCTCTTCTCAATTTTGACAGATGACTTCCATGTCTCACATGCATATGTTACAGTCGGAATGACGTTTGTGTTGAGAAGGTATATTTTTGTCTCGAGTCCAATGGCTTGGCTTGGCCAAATAGGCTGCAGCCTTTGGAAAATGCTCCCTGCCTTTCCTATTCGGCACGCTACATCATGGTAGGCATCCCCATCATTTGTTATAATGCTGCCAAGGTAAGTGAACTTGTCCAGCTCTTCAAGCTTTGACTCGCCAAGTCTGAAGGGTGCACACTTTGTCTTATATCCCACTCGCAAAATTTTAGTCTTATCCAAGTTTATGCGGAGGCCAATTTTGGGTGCCTCTCTATCTAAGCTCTCCGTCATTTCTTGAATGCATTTATTTGTAGCCCCGAGTAGTGCAACATCATCGGCGAAGTCCAAGTCCGTCATTCGGTTTTG